TTATTTATTTAGAAAAATTGGATCCTGTTTTGGTATGTTGCTGTTTGCCTTTGTAACAAATGTGATGACATTTCCTTACTAAACAGGGGGATATGCTAGTTAATAGGATATATGGCTATGTTTTAATGCCTGTTTTCGCTCAGAAGCAGACGTGTGCTGGAAGAATTTATCCTGTCTTGTTACAAATATTTCAAGTACTTTACCAAAAAAGTTTAGTACTTGAATAGATTAGCCTGAACATTCACGGCTCTGACTCAAAGTATAGTGATCCATGGCAGAAGGTCATGTTTTCTTTTTCCTTGAAATTACTTCTTATTTTAAATGCCCAAATGGCAGTATTTCAGTATATTGTTGTGGCCCACAATCAAAACGCTGCTGATAAATGCGACACCTGCGTTTCTTTACAGAAGCAGATTACGCCATGGAAAACATTCAGCTGTCTGGCAGATGATATATGAGGCCATATTCACAGCAAAGCCCTCTGGGCTTTGATGAGCAGAAGTTTGGACTTTCTCGTCCACCTGTAGACTGTGCTAACCAGGAGCTAGAACAGGCTTCCAAGTTTGCCATTGATTTAGTCCTTTCCGAAAAAAAAAAAGATAGGGAACTGCTGTTTATGCACTGAAGTTCTGTGAAGTCCCTGTCCCACCACCTGCACATCCAGGCTTTACTTTTACTATAGGTTCCTATATAGGTCCCAACATACCCTTCTTTCACCTAAAGCTTAAGTACCAAGCAAAACAGAACGGAAGAAAAGAAACCAAAATCTTATTACTGCACACAGAAATGGGTTTTTTTACAAGTTGTTACCAGAGGCTGATGAAGCAAGAGGCAAGGTTTAGACCTCCTGGGTATTGTCATCCCTGAGGTGTGGGTGCTTGGCTGAGCTACACAACTCTTCTTCCTGTGTGTCGTGAGATGGGGAAACACCAGGCGCCTCGTGTTGGAGGAGCTGCCACACCGGGGAGCTGAGCAGGGAGCGGTTGAGGGTGAGCTGGTTGGGGCCTTGGGGCTGTGTGCATGTGAAGTGTTTCCATCCTGTCATCCAGAGCCTTGAAAACCTCTAAACAAACATGAGAGCCAGTTCAATAGCTCAGGCTGCCACTGGGAAAACAGGGACAGGGTCTTGCACCCCCAAGGAATGGGAGCATTTTGTGTGTGCTCCACACGCGGTCTCTCTGCACTTTGCCCAGTGTCCTCAGGGTCACTGCCTACCCATTTCCTGGGTTCCTTCCCTGCAGCAGCAAGGTGTATGGGCTGGACACTTTTCAGAACATCTCGGCTCTGCCTCCTGAGTGGTGGGTGTTGTAGGGAGGGAAGGATCCTTGGCCGGTGTCCAGGTGCAGATCCAGTGGGTTGTTCTGCACAAGGCAAACAGTCACCGTCCATCACTTGCACAGTTTTCCCACCTAGCTTACCTGTAGCACTTGGTGGGTGCTTACTTGAATGGAGGGCTGTAGATCACAGTTTCGGAGAACACCTGTTTTGTACATTTGGTTTCAGAGATTCCTTTCTTTGCTGATACCTCTTCACTTGTGCAGGCACCAGTGAGCAAGCTGGCAGGTGAAACAGCATTCCTGGGGTGTACTAGCAACTTAAGAGTCAACTGCATTAAGTGTTTAATCTTCTGACAGGACATTTCTGGCCCTTTGGGATCCAGAGCACCATGTTTGCTTATGAGAGCAGGCACCTCAAACAGAGCCCCAAGTAAGGATGCTTCCATATTTTCAGGCTTTACCTAGTCATAAAAACTTTTGGCAAGAACAAATGATTTCTTCCTGAGTCCCTCTCTAAGAGCCCATCCTGGCCTCCAGACTCCAGGAGAATTGCGAGAAGAAGAGCTAGAGGAATGAGGAGAAGCACCACCCTGAGCCGTGGTGAGGGAAGATTTAGCTTGAGATCCCGTCTTGTAGGGAGAGATCCTGCATGAGAAATGTCACCTTACAACAAGAAATGTGGAGCCTCACTGCAACGTGAGCCTTCTCTCTCCTGTAGTGAGTAGTAGTTACTCTGACCACTGCTGCTGCAGAGTAAGCCACACAAATGGATATGTTCAAAGCATCATCAGATATAGTTTTCTCCTACAAAATATTAATCCCGTATTAGTCTATTCGTTAGACTACCTGTGTCTTTGTCACTCATAGCATGTACATTAAGTATCATAGTCCACCAAATAAACTCCTCTTCCTTAGGAAAGCGTAATGTAGACCTTACAGTGTGCCTTAAAATTTGAGATGGGCTTTCATGGAAAGCAGAGAAAGAAGAGTGGAGCTGTATTAGAGATGTTATTCAAATGCCAGCAACTTGGCATGTTTAATAAAGCTTTACCATGCCCAGACAAAAAAAAAAAAGTTTAGATGAACAGAGAGGGTGAAGATCGTTTGAAGATCGTTATTTTGGCCTTAACCAAGGAGTTGGGAACCCTCTTCTGGAAGTAGATCTATCAGATCGGTACTGAAATGGCCGAACACTTGTAGTAGTCATCAATTGGACTGTCTTGGTGATCTTAATGCAAAATGCCCGAGAAGGCATTGCTTAGTTGTGGGAGGTGTCAAATGCTCTTGATTTTGTGACCCAAGCACAGATATTTACAGCAGTGTTCATATCTAAAACCATAATGATGAAGTCTATAAGCATAGACAAAGCCATTTGGGGGGTATGGAGCTGCTGCCCCGGAATCTAAGTTAATAATAATATGCTAGTAATTGAACAAATCAAGAAGTACAAATCATCAGGTGAGAGGACTGAAACACTGCAAGATGAAGAGTGAGATGATTGAAATTGCTGAGGAACCTGGATTTTTGAATCTTGCTGAAAATTAAATACCAATGAATACATTCCCTGCAGGGGAGAGTGTATGGTATTCAGACCCACTCAGAAGTTATAAAGATGACTTTTTAAACCAGCTGCCCAAGATTACAAAGGAAACCACAGGAAAGCCACGACCTGAATCCAGAGCCATTGAGGCCCAGCACAGTGCCTTATTAATAAAGCTGTCTGGGCTGAGTACTAAAAAGATTCTCAGGTGTAGGAAAAGATGACGTTATACCTGCCAGTCTTTCCAGGCATCTTATCTAATGCATCAGTGTAAGTCATCAGGTTGAGTTTCAGAAGTTTGCTCTTAGTAAAACCCTGGTTTTAGTCTGGTAGTTGGATAGCTAAGAAGCCCCGTAGTTCAGCTTCAGTAAGAAAAAGATGTAAAGACAAATGGTATTTCCAGGAGTTGGTACCTGATTTGCCATATGATAGTATCATCTGGTTGCTTGCACTCTCAAATAATCTAGTTAGGAATACTTACACTTTTAGTAATTTAATCCTGCTCTGTTAGCACTTTATGGGCCTGATCTGACAAGTCCACCTTCAGGCAAAAGTCTAGTTAAAGTTGATAGAAGTTCTGTAAGACTAAAGACTGTGAGGTCTAAGACATTAGAATGACATGGTTGGTGAGCATCGTAATAAGGAAAAGGAATATCACAATAAGACTTTAATAAATTGTTTACACTGTTTTTTTCCGGTGCAGTCACTTCAATAGAATCCTCCTTTCCTAGAAAATACATACATTACATTAACTCAATTAAGAATTATAGATCAGTGATTATTCAGTAGTAGTCACATAAAACCAACTTTTTGTCATTTCTTAGTGATTAGACATTGCAGAGTGCTTGCATTTCTAATTACAATCAGTCGTAAAAGCTGAAATCCGAATTTCTATGAGATATTCTAAATGGGCAGCATTTGTTTTTATTTTTTCTCCATCACAAGAAATAGCCGTAGTTATCATTCTTACTTAAGGTTATTCAGAGTTTGGGTATGTGCACTGTTACTGGTGCAGAAGTCGCTTCTAAGCGGCACCCACTTCAGCACAGAGCCCCATGTTTCCAGAATGTGTGCTGAGAGCGCCCCTCGCTGTTGCTGCCCAGTGGTACCCACAAAAAAAACAACTTTTGGAAATCTTTGTGCTAGGATTTCAAAACAGCCCTTCCTTGTCATGACTTGCATTTTGGTATCTTTGAGTACGGTTTAAAGTTACAAAAAAAACCCCAGTAATAGTGGTTGTTCTGTCTTTGTAGTAGATCTGATACTGAAGATTAAATCAACACTATCATTTCTGTGTAAAATTTCAGTTACATTTTAAGCAATTATCACAGTGAATGTGCCTAATGCATTCAATTTTACAACAAAACTAATCGTTAATTTTACCCTTACTGGTGTTAGTGTGTATTATAGCATTCTTCAAAACTGGTATTTGAACTGTTGCGTTACTTTTTGCCATGTTTTAGGAGAAACCATAATATTAGAATAACATCCCTTATACAAATCTAATCCCTTTTCAGTTGTTTCATTCATATTTTGTCCCCTTGCAACAAGGATATGCAAAGAATGAGTAACTGTTTTGTCAACAGGGACCATAATGATTAAAGTACAAACAGTAAATATGACTTCAGGTCTGGAATCGGATTATAGGATTAAAATGAATGAAAAAAACCTGCTCTGTAGTAGGATTGCAAAGTTCCAATCAATATCATCCTGTAATAATTTTAAAGGGAAAATGTGGGAAGTAAAGAAATAAGGCAAAGAAGGCACAACTTGAGGTTGTTGGCGGTGCTCGAGTTTCTTGATTTTCTTTTGGTTTATCAGGAGGACCCAGCTAGAAAGCTCCAGTGTCACCAGGGTTCTGTTATTTTCATTTATATTGCATCTGTTGTGCTGTGTTGTTTTGCCCTTGGCACTGTAAGGGTTAAAGACACCTGCCCTTAGGTTATTGCAGTACAAGGGAAGGAGGGACAGCAGGTAGGGAGGCTACAGAGCGGCTACAGCACTCACTTGCAAAGGGGACAGCAGTGCCTGTGCACTTCTGCCCTTTTAGAGTTCCTAGCGTGGACAGAGGGCATTGCTTAACCTTTTGGGTCAAAGATGTGTTGGAGAAATCTGCCCTGGTTCGTCTGAGCCCATCGACACTGGTGTGGTAGGACTCGTTAGCACAAGAGGCTGATTGCGAGATGCTCCTAAGTGGTTTTGGGCCACCCCGGTCCTTCCTGTGCCAGCGGGCTCTCTCTGCCTGGCCCTGGGGTCAGTCTCATAGCCCAGCGCTGTGCCTGTGCTTGCCCTGCCCACCTCACATCCCTGTTCTTACAGTGAAGTCCTCAGGAGATAGATGGCATCCCTGGGTTTTGTGCTGGGGAGGTCTCCTGGGGCTGCGTTCAAGGCAGAACATCTGCATGCTGCTTCAGCCCTGCCCTCTTTGCGGAGATCTGGAGGATGGTAAAACTGCGTATCAGTGTCGCTGCAAATATTCTTCAGGCCAGCTGGACTAACCTCAGTGTGAAGTAGCTTTGGCACCAGAAGGTGTATCTTCTGGGTCATGAAGAAGTACCACAAGAAGTACCACCTCTTAAAGGCCTGAATTCTGAACTTTCTGTTCTTTACATATGATCAGTGTGATGAGGCTGTGTTTTTATCTCTAGTGATGGAGTTAAGATAAATGAAGGTCTGGGGTGCTCAGTCTCATGCATCTGTAGGAAGTTGCCTTTTCAAAAGTAAATGTATTTGTCACTTTCTAAAAGTCAAGTCTGCCTGAGAAGAGCTCTCCAAAATTGGCAGCACATAAACCTACCAGTCTATTTTTTTAATCTCATGCAAAATGTTAGTTACATCTTCTTAGACACCTAGAGGAACTCAGCTATGAATAAACTAAAAAAAAAATTAAAAGGCTTTATATATATTTGTATTGGGGAACCTAACAGATCGTAGGCTAAATGTCTCAGTCACTTTCCACCTGGGTCCAAGATCTGTTACAGCACTTTGAGCTGTGTGCATAGACACTGCAGAAATGAACCATCCTACTATGTGGGTTTAGGTTGTAGCTGCTGTTGCTCCCTGAATTGTGACACCTCCTGTCACTAGAGGCAAGGCTGACTAGGTGCAGCATGGCGTTCTTATCCTGCTTCTGCTGCCTCCAGAGACTGCTCCATAGCCCCACATAGAGCTCTGTGATCGTGTCCAGAGCCGCCTGAAGAACTCTGCACTGCTCTCTGCTGCGTGATACCAACCTGCCCACAAACTCTTGGGAGGTCAGCAGAACAGAAAAGAATCCTCCTCTGACTAGAGGAGCTTCATGTTGTACCTTTGATGCCTTTCCTTGGTGTAAGAAAAAGATTTTGTGCCTCTTGAGTTGTTCTTGGACATATCTGGAACCTAAAGCAAAAGGAACAGAAGCAAAGTCTGTAGAATTGCGAGTGGGTCACATGAAGTGTCCCTCACCCAATGTCAGGCAAGTGCAGCAAGGATGGAGAGGAGAAAAAGCAAAACTTGGAAGCCTTATTGAAGAGGAGCAGGGCATAGGGTGAAGGTGTAGCACAAGATCCTGCAAATATGTACAGGCAAAGCCCGTGAGCAGCTTGAAGTGGGCTTCCAGAGGAGTACTTATTTGAACTTTCACTTGTAGTTTGTATTTTCTTCCTCATTTTCCTGTCTTAATCCCTCTGAAAGAAGACAGCAGTAAGCAGTGACTATCATCACAATGCATTTCTGATTAACAGCAAGGGCACAAGGGCACTCTCAAAATAGAAGCAAAGTCAGGATTGTTTTAAATCACAGTGTTACAGCAGTATTAAAGCAGAAGCCGTAATTTTAACGTGTTCAGGAATAAAATGCATGCTACTGTAAATGGTTGTGTACGTTCATCTAGCTGCTACTGCCTGGCATAACCTTTTGCATTAGGTTTCTGTGATTCATCTCTTTTTTTGTTGCAGAGAGTCGAATGATTCTGGATGCCTTTGCCCAACAATGCAGCCGGGTTCTAAGTCTCTTAAATTGTGGTGGAAAACTGCTGGACAACAATCACTCTCAGTCCATGATTTCTTGTATAAAGCAAGAAAACCCAAATTATAGTGAAAGACAAGAGCAATGTCAGCTTGGGAAAATGGTCCATAGTCAGACATCAGACATTTTAGACATAGAGATGCAGTATATGCAAAAGAAACAACAAACCTCAGCCTTTCTGAGAGTTTTTACCGATTCCCTTCAGAACTATTTGCTTTCTGGGAGCTTCCCTTCTCAGAACACCTCATCAGTAAATGATTTTAGCCATTTGGCAGATGTGGATCCACTTTCAACCTCTCCAGTACACACTTTAGGTGGATGGACATCTCCAGCAACATCTGAATCTCATGGTCACCCATCATCTTCTACACTTCCAGAGGAGGAGGAGGAGGAGGAAGAAGAAGGTTACTGCCCTCGGTGTCAAGAACTAGAGCAGGAGGTAATTTCATTGCAACAAGAAAATGAGGAACTTCGTAGAAAATTGGAGAGCATTCCAGGTAAATAATCCCCTGCCCTATAATGTTGTCAGTCATTGATAAAAATAGTTTGGGTAATAGTTTGGTTTAAGTTCTAGCAATATTTTAGGTTGCAGTTATAGTAATCAAACACTGAAATTTGTCTGCAGCTGAAAATCCCTGTAGCCGTGCCCACTGGAAAATTATCTGCTGATACTCATTCATAGGAATCTTGAGTCCTGGAGTAGTGAGCTGTGTTCAGGATAGGATGCACTTGTAATCCCAAATTCCAAACATCAAGTGGTTTGTCACAGTAATTTCAAACATATGCTTTTGTGTCTAGTTATCTATCTTGTTCTTTAAATGATATTGCAGCTTATAAACCAAATGCCTTTTTGGGGCTTCTTTTTTGGTTACTTAAGTCCATACTTTTAACTGAAATACATTTGCCTTATATCTTGAACAGTGTCTCTTAAATTGCTGTTAGCTTGATGAGAAGCATAAATACATCTCCTCCTATTCATCTTCAAATAAAACCTGAAAAAGAAGCTTGACAACGGATTCTCCAATTCAGCAATACCTAGCAGGCACTGGGAGAGAGAAAGCAGACAGAAAAACTCATCTAATAGAAACCCCCTCTGTGATAAACTTCTCTTGTCCCTTTAAACTTAGGAATTCTCACTGTTAAGGTGCACTGAGATACCTGAAGAATGGTATTGGGTAAGAACGAAGTATCTTGGACCTATATCCTCTAAACTTTAAGCACATGCAAAATGCACCTCAGATAATAATACTAAAAGCAAATGGTAAAGGAAATAAATACACAACACAGTTCTGACACATCTACAAGTGCTAGGGATCTGCACCTTTGTAGCTAAAGTTTGAGGTGCTTAGGTTCTACCAATCCATACAAATGTAGTTGATTTAATCTCTGAATAGCAGAAAAGGACAGATAATTTAGTATGGGCTGCATGAGAGAAAATACTCCAAAGCTGTTAACTGTGCAGGAATGAGGAAGAGAGCAACCAACTACTGCCCAAATAAGTAGGTGCAGTTGCAAAATCTGAGTAAAAAGCAAGCAGTCATCTTCATCGTTCTTCTCCCCAGCTACCAGTGATGTATTATTAATTATCTTTATTACATTGTGGGTTTCTGTTGTGCATTGGTCCCTAGCTGGTATCAGCAAATCCCATAACTGACGTTGTTCAGGGCAGAGAAAACAAAATTTAGAACACTTCTCCCACCCATCCCAAAATCTGGAGTCATTGTAACTCATGCACTCTCACTGGATTCAGTAGTGGTTCCTACATCACGTGGAAACACTGTGTGAGAAGGACAATCGTGTGGACTTCAACTCCTGTTGGGCCCTAGCTTCAGATGAGTAAGACAAAAAATTATCATTAGGGTCTATAATCTGACCCACAGCTTTCGTTCAATTGTCTATATTGAACCAGTAGTCTTTCTGACTTAAACTAAAGCATAACTTATATTGGACACAACAAGTAATATGTCAGAGGGCCTTCAGTCCTGAGTTGGAGACCGTGGTGAGCGGTGGCTCTGCCCCTTACCCCGTCACTTGACTCAGTGGTTATTTACAGTGGTGAAAATGTGTGCCTGACTATCTGAAATCAGCTTCTGGCCATCGATTTCTACTCGTTGCTCCACAAAATGAAGTGTTGTATAGGACTGAGTGCTTGTTCCAGATGAAGGTACTTAGAGATTGAAGGCTGGCTTAATTTCCATCTTAGATACAGTGAGAAAACAGAGCTGTTTAAAACTCCCCAAATGAGTTTAATCCTTCTTTGCAGTTCTTTTCTCCTCTCCGCTCACTTCCTTAAAATTTGGCCACTGGAAATGCGTGCAATATGCACTGATCTGCCTGACTGAAGGTGAATAGTGTCTTTGTTCCCGCTCGCCATTGCCCTGGTCATTTGGCCATCGGTCGCGCAGCTGAGCTTCTCATTCTCTGCGCATTTCTTCCTAGACATCCATACTTAGTGTTTGGCTGTGTTCATGTACTAAGCGATCCAGATTCCTTTGTCTGCGCCGTTTTCCCACTGTTTGCTGGTTCAACAATTTCTGTATCATCCAGAATTATTTTTTTTTAATTGTTTTTAAATTAACTTCACGATACTGGTGAGAAGTGTCGAATGGTGTTGAGGCTGCTGTCAGTCCCTGTTGAGCCCTGTTGGAAACACATCTATTAATGAAGGTTACCCCAGTGACGAGTACTTGACATGTCAGTAGTAGCAGGTGCTTAATGCATGTATAACTCATGGTAGTAAGTTAAATAACTCATGGTAGTAAGTTAAATGCCCTTCAGGAGTCTAGGTGTATTACATCTGTTCAACCCAACTTTTTCAAGTGAACCTATAATCTCATCAAAGAATAACAATCAGGTTAGTCTGACAAGATCCACTTTCCATAAGACCATTTTGACTTGCATTAATTTTATTCATATTCTTTAGTTCTTCATCAATTGAATCCCATTGCAATTTCTTGTATTATTCTAGGATTCATGGTGGACTAAGCAGCCCTGGGTCATCACAGTTACCCTTCATCTCCCTTTAAAGGAGAGATAAACATACATAAACATAGTCATTTTTCACCCCCTAGGAGTAATGAAACACCTTGTTAATGGCATATCAGAGGAAGCAGAGAAGCATAAAATAAATGTGCAAGGATATATGACTTAATCAGCCAACATAAAATCGTCATCAGATGCATCTGCTTCTGTCTGGGTGACATGTGCAGAGAGATCCAAAGTGACCCAGATGTTTGGGGAAGCATTAGAAGCTAAGGAAGGTACCCTTGGGTTTTGTTGCATCGTAGGACAGATGTCTGAGCTGCCCAGGCAGTCCCACAGCCACCACTGAGCAAGATAAAACAAAAATCAACTAAAGGCAACATCTCATTATTTTTGTCTCCACTGCTGATTTTACTCCAGTGAGCTTCTACTGGCAGAAATTTTTCTGAGTCTTGAAATGCCCAACTCTGGATGTAAATGGGCGCAACGCTCGTTCTCTGAGCATATTTTCATCCCCATCAAGACGTTGCGTGCCTCAGGATGGCGCCAGGAGGCCCTCTGCAGAATCTTTCCATGTTGTTTGCCACCATCTATCACATCAGTTATCTTGGAGTACAAACTTTCTTCCTTGCTCATTCATAGGTCTCACACTGGGCATCTGACAGGCCATTAGGGAAAAAGTGACTGGGGAGGCAGCTAGACGAGCGAGGAGGCTGCCTTACTGTCCCATCAAGCTGGTGAAAGAGCAGGTTTGACGTGGTGGTTTTCCCTCTCATCTTTGAGGAAGGTGGGCTGAAGCTGCTGGGTGAGGTTGGCACCATGGGGTGGTGGGAAGCTCCCACTACCAACCCTGTCAGCAGAAGATGAAAGCACCAGCTCCTCCCTTCTGCTCTATAACTGTCTATGAATCATTTTATCCTTTTCCTGAAATACTTTTTTCTTTTTTTTTTTTTTACTTTCCATATGCAAAAGCCCTTTTAAAATCCATGAGAGTTTGCGATCTAAAAATAGTTACTGCTGTACATCCCTGCCTCTTGCTCTGCAAAGCACCATTTGCATGGCTCACAAAGAGACTACTGGGAAGAAGAGTGTTTTCTCTGCAGATGTAAAGGCAACGACTTTTTCTTTAAGAAATATTACAGAAGATGTAGTTTTTGGGCACATAAAATAAAATTTTTCAGTTTTCAGAACTCTGTCCTGTTGCTGTAGAAGCCCTTCAGTCCTGGAGGATCGTTTTGCCCATAATCTAGTGCCATTCTTTGGCAGATCACCACTGGAGGAAAACAGTTACATGGGTGAAATATTGCATATGTTTGGTTGTTTTGTTTTGGTTTCTTTTCCAAAAAATACCCACTTGATTTGACTGAAACAATACTTAAATTTGTGTTATATCTTAATTGTTTCGGCTGTGGAAAAAAATGAAGAAAAATTCATATGTCAGTGCTTTGATTTTGGAGCACTGCAACTTCCTGCAACTTGTGCAGTAGTCCCCAATATTTTTTTTGTAGACAAAAACATTAACGAAACATTTTCTGTTCAGTTTTCAGTACAAGAGAAGTAGTTGCATTCGGTGTGTTATCTTGTCTTGAAAAATAATTAAAGATTAGATAATTCCTGGGAGGAGTTTGACAAACTTACTATTGGCTCCTTAAGGTTTTGAGACCGTCAAAAAAAAAGCAAAGTAATCCATCTATCCAAGGAGAAAAGCATCTCCTAATGTCTTTCATTTGTATAAAAATTACTGTGGCTGTGATACATTCCCAGTAGTGTAATTAAAGAATTATTTGTGAAACGTGTGTATAAAACCTGGATTTAGACTATCTAATGTATAAAGATATTAAGCAGTTCTTCTTCACTACTGTCAACATGATTTTCTCACAGTTTTTGACCTAAAAGGGAGAGAATATTCCCAGATGGCTAAAGCAAAGGCCAGGGATCTCGAGTGAGGGTTTGCCTCCTGGTGCTCTCAGCCTTGCTGCCTAGTTTCACACAAACCAGCCTGAAAGTAGTGGAAAGGTATAAATAAGTAAGATGAAGCAGTGTGTGATAAATACAGTAATTATTCTTACCTCATTAGCCTGGCAGCAAAAAATACTTCAGGAAACAGCAGAAGGCTGGGGATGGAAAATCCCCTCGAATGAGGAGAGGTGATCACCTGCAGAGACCACATTCACGGTGGCTGGAAGTAGCCAAAGCAAAGTGGGATTTGCAGGTGGAGTTAATATCAGTGTAATTGAAAAAGTCAGACAAGTTTTCCAAGAGGTTTTGTGTGCCCAAGGCTTGACTCTTTTTTTTCCTCACTATATCAGGTGATCTAATAAAAG